TAATTTAAACACACACACACACTGCAGGCTTACCGCTTGCCAACAGTTTGAAATTGCAATTGGCTTTTGATTCAGCCTTACCTGACAATGAGATAACTGTCCACAAAGTAAAAATCAGGAACTCACTATTCTCTCTGTGTGTTTTCTATCTAGCTTCCAATTGATTCCCTTCCCTTTCTTTTCTCATGTGCTTTTTTATCGAAGTTACCAACTGTGATACAGATTAGTTTTTAAGCCAGTGTTTCTTAGGCAGCAAAGTGTGACAGGGAAATATAAGAAAGCTCCAAGGGTTGGTTTTTTAAAAAGATTTTTATTAATTTTCCAACACAATTATACATTTTTCTCCATGTTTTAACAAATTAATCTTTTTTTACTTCCTTCCGCTTTTCTGGTAATCATCCATATTTACTCTTCAATACGCATTCCCTTCATTGTATTGCCATTTGTCTTCCCGCCCCTCTATTTCTTTTTGACAATACATCTCAAACTTTTACAGTGCTTCTTGAAACCCCACTAGCATTGTTTGCACATCACATACAATTTTCAGATAATCTACAAACTTTCCCCAATCTTCGATGAACTTTTGGTTTCGAACATATCTTATTTTCCCAGTCAATCTGTCCAGTTCCGCATAGTCCGTTAATTTCAATCTCCATTCTTGTATCGTCGGTACTTCCTCTTGTTTCCATTTCTGGGCCAATAAAATTCTTGCTGCTGTAACTGCATACTGGAAAAGTTTACAGTCTTTTCTTCTTATTTCATTTCCTGTAATCCCTAAAAGAAAAGCTTCTGGTTTCTTAACAAAAGTATATTTTAACATCTTTTTCAATTCATTATATATTGCTTCCCAAAAGCTCCTCACTTTCTTATATTCCCACCACATATGGTAAAACATTCCCTCTTTTTCTTTACATTTCCAACACTTATTGCATGTTTTATACATTTTTGCAAGTTTTACCAGTGTAATGTACCATCTATAAAACATTTTCATAGTTTCCAGAGGTACTTTAAACAATTATATACACAAGGGCCACAGAAAGAAATTGATATAGATTGATTTTTGAAGATAAATGGACTACAAAAAATCTCTCAAGAAAGTAAATTAATGTTGAACTATAAAATATCTGAACAGGAAGTAGAAGGTGCCATTCAAAATATGCAACTAGGCAAATCTCCAGGACCGGATGGGTTGACTTCTAGATACTACAGATCCTTGAAAGAGTGGTTAGTACAACCTTTAAAGGAAGTCTGTAATGAAATATTGGAAGGGAAAAGGGCACCAGAGTCGTGGAAAGAAGCGTATATTACACTTATACCGAAAACAGAGACTGAAAAGACCCAGCTTAAGAACTACCGCCCCATATCATTACTTAATGTGGATTACAAAATTTTTGCAGATATTTTGGCCAAGAGATTGAAAAAAGTGCTGATGGAAGAGATCCATAAAGACCAAGCGGGCTTTCTCCCGGGAAGACACTTGTCTGACAATTTGAGGAATATAATTGATTTTGGAAAAACTAGAAGTGAATATTAACACTAAGGCAGTTTTGATATTTGTGGACGCGGAGAAAGCCTTTGATAATATCTCTTGGAGTTTTATGAAGAAGAACTTACATGGGTTGGGGGTGGGTGAAGGATTTGAAAATGGTATAGGTGCAATTTATTCTGAACAAAAGGCCAAGTTAATTGTTACTAATGAGGTGACGGAGGAATTCAAGATAGAAAAAGGGACACGACAAGGTTGCCCAATTTCCCCATTGCTTTTTATCAGTCCTGGAGGTTTTGTTGAACATGATTAGAAGGGACCAGTTGGTTAAAGGTATACAAGTCGGAGCTAGACAGTATAAACTGAGAGCTTTTGCAGATGACCTAGTATTGACATTTCAGGAGCCAGAATCTAGTACTAAAAGAGTTTTGGAACTGATTCAAGAATTTGGTCAAGTTGCAGGATTTAAATTGAATAAGTTAAAAACAAAGGTCTTAGAGGAAAATTTAACAGTGATTGAAAGAGAAAGGTTTCAGAATGAGACAGGTTTAACAGTGGTTAAGAAAGTGAAATACCTTGGGATTAATATGACAGCTAAAAATGGGAACTTATTCAAAGATAATTATGAAAAATGCTGGATGGAAGTGAAAAAAGACTTAGAAATTTGGTCAAATTTGAAGCTTTCATTGCTAGGCCGTATTGCTGCGATAAAAATGAATGTATTGCCTAGAATGTTGTTTTTGTTTCAAACATTGCAAATTGTGGACAAAATGGATTGCTTCAAGAAGTGGCAGAGAGATATTTCTAGATTTGTCTGGCAGGGCAAGAAGCCTAGAATAAAATTTAAAATATTAACAGATGCAAAGGAAAGAGGTGGATTTGCCCTGCCAGACCTTAAACTTTATTATGAATCAGCAGCTTTTTGCTGGTTGAAAGAATGGCTGCTTCTTGAAAACACAGATATTTTGGATTTAGAAGGCTTCAATAATGTATTTGGATGGCATGTATATTTGTGGTATGATAAGGTCAAAGCACATAAAGCATTTAAGAATCATATTGTCAGGAAAGCATTGTTTAATGTCTGGATAAGATATAAGGATTTATTGGAAAACAAAACTCCAAGGTGGCTGTCACCGATGGAAGCAAAAGCACTGAAAAAGCTCAATATGGAGGCCAAATGGCCGAAATATTGGGAAATTTTGGAACAAGAGGGAGATAGACTGAAATTGCAGAGTTTTGAGAAACTAAAAAAACAAAGTGCGAGATTGGCTTCATTATTATCAGATAATGGAGGCATATAATTCGGACAAGAAAATTGGCTTCCAGGTGGAAAAATCAAAATTAGAAACAGAACTGTTAGAACCCAAAACTAAGATTTTGTCAAAGATGTATAACTTGCTGTTGAAATGGAATACTCAGGATGAAACGGTGAAATCTGCTATGATTAAATGGGCACAAGACGTTGGACATAATATAATGATGGCTGACTGGGAACAGTTATGGACCACAGGTATGAAGTTTACGGCATGTAATGCCTTAAGAGAGAATATTATGAAAATGGTATACAGGTGGTACATGACTCCAGTCAAGCTTGCAAAAATCTATCATTTGCCCGATAATAAATGTTGGAAATGTAAAGAAACTGAAGGTACATTCTTTCACCTTTGGTGGACGTGCCCAAGGATTAAGGCTTTCTGGGAGATGATCTATAATGAATTGAAAAAGTATTTAAATATACCTTGAAGAAACCAGAGGCCTTTCTCCCGGGCATAGTCGGCCAATTGGTGCCAAAGAAGGATAGAACTTTTTATGTATGCCACAACAGCAGCAAGAATACTCATTGCAAAGTATTGGAAGACACAAGATCTACCCACTCTGGAAGAATGGCAGATGAAGGTGATTGACTATATGGAACTGGCGGAAATGACTGGCAGAATCCGGGACCAGGGAGAAGAGTCGGTGGAAGAAGATTGGAAGAAATTTAAAGACTATTTACAGAAATATTGTAAAATTAATGAATGTTAGAATGATGTTGGATAGAAATTAAGTGGTTTTTAGCTGCAATACTATAAGGGAATATGAAAAATGGATTATTAACAGGTAAAAATTTAATGTTACAATATTTTAAGATTACTGATTAGGATAGACAAAGAGGGGAAGGATTTGCTGAACCAACAAACTGAACTGGAATACAAAAAAGGGAGGCGTGAGGAGGTCCGGGAAATAAGCTAATGAAAAATAAGTAATGGAAAGATTGAGTTGTTTTTAATTATTTTTATTTTTTGTGTTTTTCTTTTTTCTATTTTTATTTTGTAATATTTTGAAAATCTTAATAAATAAAATAAATAAAATAAAACATTTTCATAACATTTTCCTTCAGCGCCGTGCATGCAGTAAATTTTAAATTTTCTTTCCACAATTTTTTCCAGTCTTCAAATTGAATATTATAACCAAAATCTTTGGCCCATTGTATCATTACTGATTTAACCTCTTCATCTTTCGTGTACCATTCCAACAATATCTTATACATTTTTGACAAAATTTTATATTCATTATTTATTATGTCTATTTGGAACTTAGAATCTTTTTCTTCATAACCACTTTCCTTTATATCTTTTTTAAACATTTCGTTTACCTGGAAATAATGCAACCAATCATATACATGATCTTTAACTTGTTCATATGGTTTTAATTTCCATTTTCCTCCTTCTTTAGTTACCATTTAGCTCCAAGGGTTTTTTAATACATATATCGAACGTGTATAATGGGTGTGCCAGAGTTTTCCTTTATACATTATTAGACAAAAGATAGGCTTAAAATGCACAAATCATTATGCTACTCCTCTCATAATTGAAGTCCTGTCTCCTCAGATGCTGATTAGTATTAATTGGACCAGTTGCAGAATGTTTTATTACTCAGAATAATATCCAAACCATTATCCAATTTATCCCATCCCATCCCATTGCTTCTAATTCATAGTAACAGTTCATGTTTACTTTACATTCTAGGTCTTTGGGGAAAGCAAAACAACAACAACAGCCAAAAACGAATCTACAGTACTATATACTTTGGAAAGTTGTCTATCCCAGGCATCCCCAACCTTCGGCCCTCCAGATGTTTTGGACTACAATTGCTATCATCCCTGACCACTGGTCCTATTAGCTAGGGATCATGGGAGTTGTAGGCTAAAACATCTGGAGGGCCGCAGGTTGAGGATGCCTGCTCTATCCCCTGTGCATTTAGACACTGAAGTTTGCAAGGTGGTTTCTTAGATCAAAGAGCAGTTTTTGTCTATGCTTGGATATGATTTGACACCACCATCAAGGATTAAGATGGTAGACCAAACCAAAATGGCACTGGTTTTAACCAAATTGTTTATGGTTATTCCTGAGATCAAGGAGCCTGTTTCCAACTATGTTTGAAGACAATTGGATGCAATTTTGAATCAAGATGGCAGACTGGAAATTTCAAAACTGCACTAATCTAACCACTGATTTCAAAACAGAACTTTTTTGTGCTCGCTTCGGCAGCACATATACTAAAATTGGAACGATACAGAGAAGATCAAAACAGAACTTTTTTTAAAAAAAAAAAAATTCCTGATTAGTGCCAGTATGAGGCTGCTAGTTTAATATATTTTAAAACATGATTTCATAACTGAAAGATCAGAGTAGCAGTCTGCAGGAAGCAGACATATGGGGAGTGTGAATTACACTCCCCCAAAACATAGTTTCTTACCCTTGGGGCATTCAGTTGCCAAAGATCAGTATCTTTCAGGGAGTTGTTAATGTTGAATACAGCAGGCATACTCTTTGGGCCTCGAGAATTAAAGTAAGAGCAAAATAAGGGCAAGTATTGTAGCTAAGAATGAACAATTTAACAGAATGTGTAGGGTTTTATATGATTTTAATGTTGACAATGCTGTTGGGCATTCAACAGTTGCCAGAGAAATTCATTGTATAACAGATTGATCTTGGTGATTCAGATTGGTTCTGGTGTGAGTTTTGAAGATGTATGCAATATGGTATTTAAATTTATAGATTTTAATTAATCTTAATGATAAGGAAAGTGAGAAGGAATGTTTTGCATAAAACATACTCCCAATTACAGAAGAGGTGATGCTTGCTTATTAATTTGTTTAAAATATTTGTATAAGGCCTTTCACTGAAACGCATTTACAGGATGATTTACAATGAAATATAAAAAGAGCACATAATTAAAATAATCCACAACAAAAATAGCATGTACAACAATTTTTAAAAGCAGGTAAAAGCCAAAAGAACAGCACCTAAAATGCCTCAATGTCCAGTCCTGTGGTCTCTGGGAGGGAATTTCAGAGTATCAGATTTTGTTGATCTCCTATGTGGGTGGAGAAGGAGGTCCACCTCTGGAGAGGATGAGCTACCCTGAGACACCTCGCTCTAACTCCTGAGGAAATATCTGCTACTGTTGTCCCATTCCTTTTCTCTGTCATTAACTGGCAGGACACCAAGGAAGGGAAATAGAACCCCAGAGAATATCTTGGTACACAAGGGGGCAAGATAAAGAAGGGGAAGGGGAGGTTGGGTACTTAGGAGGTACTCAAGGGACATCAGAGGACATTGATGGTGAAGCTGTCAGTTCATGGGAGCCAGGGGAAGTGGACACCACCAGAACCAGAGATGCTCCAGTCTCTGTGGTGGGCTCTGAAGCATTAGGAACAATGGAAAGTACACTTTAAGAAACTGAGAAAGGCAAGAGAACATAGCCCAACTTACTAGTTGATCAGGTGACGATCATGGGACTTGCTAGGGCTGGGAGGAGGTGATTAAGCTCAGGGCAGTTGAGAATCACATGCCTCATTAAGAGGAGAGCCACAGCTACTCAGCTAGAGCAAGCTCAGGTGCATCAAGTATGTTTGGGAGGAATAAAAGAGAAGCAAGGCAGTGACAGTGTCTGTTCAGCTTTCACCATTGATGAACCATGGCTTGGCTGTCTTGGGAACTCTGCTGGGCCATGCTTTTGGATTCCAATCCTGGATCTTCTTTGGAGGTAGGAACCTGGACTTATGGTTTGACTTTGAACCTTTCTTGTTGCATTGGACCTGAAACTGTATTTGACCATTGGACTGCCTGAGTCCTCTCTAGCATTACCTTTGGGAGTGTGTGCACTATGGGGACTTACACCAGGGTTCAGGACATTCTGTGTTGGTGGAGTGAACCAAAAAAGGAGCATTATGATGGGATGGATTGAGATTGAGAGATGTTTTGATCCACTGGATCCAAAGCCCTGCCATTTCCTCAACACATTCCCAGAACTGGGGTGGGGTGGGGTTGAATATGCTGATTCTAGGACCAATGGGAGGAATTCTTTAAAAGGAAGGTGGAAATGGCACATGCAACCCATATTGTCTCTGTTCCTGCTGTGAGCTCCAAGGTACTCCAAGGTACAATGATCTCATGTTCAGAGATCACTTCCACTAGGCCTCTCCTTCAGGAGAGGCTGTTTGCTAAATGGCAGTCAAAAGCGTAGCTTCCAGAGCCAATGGCATACTAGAAAGAAAGCGCTCCTCAAGTGTTTCCAAAATTATCAACACAGGTATCAAATTTTGACTACCCTATAAAAGAAAAAATGAAATCAATATCAGCAGGATAGAAAATTGTTCACAAAGAAGTTTCCAGTGGCCTAGAATTATGGTTACAGTGGGATCCCTACCACTAGGCAGAGTGGGACAGTCACTTTCAGATGATGGATGCTGGTGGGTGGAAAATCAGCAGCAAGGTGTTGGCGGACATAGCTGAATGTGCCCTACAGGTTATCCTGTACCTGTAAGGTAGCCTGTGGACATTGCTCTAGTAAGAGTTAACTGTCAGTCTAGTTGACTTTTGTACATGGACTGGGTGTAAGGACACTTTGCTTTTGTCCAGGTTAAAAAACGTATCAGCACACTGATTTTGCTCTGTCACAGGATAGATCTGTTCCTAGTGCACATCTCTGTAGTGTGTGCGATCTCTACTTCTGGCAAATTGCACTGAGGATTATAGAGGGTAGATGGATGGTTTTGTCTTTTGGGCAAGGTGTTGGAATAACAAGTATTTGGCCCCTCTAGAACCATAGCATTCTTATTGACACATAAACCCCCATTTCACCACAATGATCTCCCTGAGGACCCCTATTCAATCACCATTTGTTTGAATTTACTTCACATATTACCTGAGCCAGAGGGAGACTAGAAACTATTTTTCCTAACAGAATCTCATTTTGAAGCATTATCAGGTCACACAGTAAGGCAAAAGCAGATGACATGCCCTTTCTGGTTTTGGAAGAAAATAAAGATTTATGGATGAACTTGCTTTCAAAATAACAGCCTGCAGGGAAATGGTGTATTTTTTTTAAAAAAAATACAGTACTGCTAGTTTATTTTTAAAATGAAATTAATATAAGGTGCCCAGTCAATTAGAATCAATGTGAGTTTTGCCCTTGACTTCAGTAGGATATGGGCTGCACCCAGATGGAATAATTTCCTATACACATAAATGGCTAATTCACCCTGAATTTAAGTTCCATCGATCCCTTTTTTCCTTCCTTTGGTTGTTTGTTTAATAAGACTATGGGTCTGTGCTTCAGTCGCAGAGCAGAAAATCTGTTTCCCCCCCCTCCTTGTAATACTGATCTTTATGGCTATAATTCCAATTTTTATGGTTCTGCAAGAAAGCCTGAAAAGCTTAGCTGTGCCCAGATTCACAATTGCCCTTGGAACAGAACTAACTGTCAGGCTTTGGAAGCTCCTTTGTTGTCTTTAAGGGGACAAATGCGTAAGCATTTTGTCCCACTAAGCAGAATGAGAGTCAACATGATTTGGCCTCTTTTTCTATTGCAATTAGCATTTCATAATTACATTCCCTCCCTGCATAATTTCATTGATACTGAATTAAAATGCTCATCTTACAACAATTGTATATGTGTTCTTATGCTTAAAATCAGCATGCCGACAATAAGCAACCTTCCATCTTCCCCAAAATCCCAATTTGGCATTACGCAATGCCACAGTTAAAAGATCGGGAAGGCAAAACTGTCCTGGACTAAAGAGGTAACATTACAGCTGCACATCCTGTCCCAACCCTCATATGTAGGGGCAGGCAGACATACTGACCCAGGCATCATTTGAATTGTTCACCAGAACTTCCAGACCCATTCTGAAATTGGTGTTTGATTACATGAGTCCTAGTCCGTGGTGGCCAGTGTTCATTGAGACTCTCAGGGCAGAAGACAGGGAGCCCCAACTCTAGGTGAAGCCAGAGCCATCTAATTCTAGTTTCTTCCATATTCTTCTCCCTGCTGAGTTCTGCATGGGCAGCACTGAGACTGAGGAGGAAGCTGACAGCCAAAGACTGGTTCTAAGTATAAAAACAGGCAGGTGGGGACTAGTTGAGGGAAACCTGAGGTTGGGGGGGCAATGCCTTTGAACTGCCTGCAGTGCCTGCGAAAGACTTATAGTCACAGTAGTTATCACTGCACATTGCTCAGAGAAGCCTCCTGGTCTGTTTCTCCTGTGCAGAGAAGCATAGGCTCATTGCTTAAAATTTGTATAATACACATCACATAATCCAGTATCAACTCATCAAGCCGTTATCCTTACCTCACATCCCCCCTGATTTTATAATTTAATTTTCTTTGTTCCCACCTTTCTAAACTGCTGAGGACAATTAACTGGAGATAGAGAACAGAAGAAGAAAGCAGAGCCATGGTTCTTCCTTCCCACTGTTATAATGTCACCCCCTCCTGTTGGCCAGGAAGGGAGCCTTCAAAGTTCTGAATCGGCAGGCCCAGACTGGTTTTCATGTAAGATTAGTGTCTGGTTTATCTCTCAGTAATAAATTCTCCCAGTAGCCTTAGGCAAGTTACTGTTTTCTCAGACTCATAGCCTCATCTCCAGTACTGGAATTTAAATGCTCACCTACCCTGGAGCGGCAGAGGGTTTGTAAGGATTACTACAGGCTTCTTCACACATGCGTATACATCCCTTGTTGACGGTAGCATCAACTGATGACCTATATGTGTGATTAAGCCATCACAGATCAGTCACCACAGAGTCAGACAGAGGTTTCTTTCCATGCCAGTCAAACACATTTCCCCCCACAGAAGCCGCTTCACACATTCGGATAACTGCTGCACATTCATGTGTGAATCGGTGTGATGGGGGGATTGTTTCTCAGCCCCACATGGTGACAAGCATGACCAATTATCAACATGCATTGGAATTCTTGTTGCCTCCCCACTTCAACCTTGGACCACTTTTTTCATCCTTCATCCTTGGATCCTTCAACTTGGATGCATACCGGCCTTATCTGTAGCCACAGATTCGGCTTCCATGATAGTAATAGCATCACACATACAAAAGTGTATGCAAAATGTAGGGATCCAGGTAACTTACAGGGACATGCTGCAAAGTAACATGTCTTTGTTTTTGTGGCATGTTACTTTTCACAAGACTATTTGAAGTATTGAGATGCATGTGTCTTGCTATGGTGCCAAAGCAGTTCACTGTGTTAAGAATCCTAATATGTTTCTAATGAATGATTAGGAGGACAATTTTAAACATATGCTTTGCATAATTTAATAATGAGCA